AAGAGGGGGGAAAGGTTGACCGACTTAGGCCCATATCCTGCAACCTTCTGCACACAAACTGAGCCGGGCACCTGCCCAGAGCCCCATTGGCTTCGTGAACTCAAATCAATGGGATTTAAGCACATGCTTAAGCACTGTGCTGAAACGGGGCCTTAACGAGAGGAGATCCCTCTAACCTGGGACTCGGCTGTAGGTGCCACATTTGCGAGCAAGAAGGAGAGACAGACATGCGGTTCCAAGCGCCTTTACCTTTTAGTATCTCCTTGAACTCCTGCAGCAGGACTTCCTGGGTGACTTCGGCCCCTGGTGCTCCTGGAGGTCCCTGGGGGCCCGGCGGCCCTGGGGGCCCAACAAGGCCACGCTAAGGAAGGAGCCAAAAGAAGACAATGGGAATCCGATCCAGGCAGTAACTCAGCAACACACCAAAGGCCCCCTTGAAATGAAGGGCTGCATCCTGCAAAGCTATCAGTCACCTGAGTAGACCTTCACCACAGGTTCAACAAAAGGTCTGGTGTGGCACCTCGGTCTCGTGCTGGCTTTCTGCCCAGCAGGTAATGCCACCCAGGGGTCTATTCACCTGAGTAGCAATGTGAGTAAGAGGTTGCAAGGCCAGGCCCTTACTTTGGGTCTCTGGGGACCGGGGGGGAACTTGGGTTTGCTGCTTCTGTTTTACCTTCCGGCATCACTGATGGTAGCACGTCACCAGCCTTTTGGGGGCTGGGTTTGTTAATTTCCATGTGCGCCACCTGCTGGCTCCCCGGAGCAGCAGCAGAGCCACCCTATTACATAGTTTAATAAAATCAATTAGGCTTGGCAGAATTTTTAATCTATTTCCATTTTTGCAGTTGTGGGAAATTATGGAGAGGGTCCGACTATAATTATTTAATGGCAGGAGATGTTGAGATCAAAAAGTCAAAGCTACCTAGCGGGCACCCCTGCTCCACTAACACCAGCACTACGATACGTTTCATATACGTTAAGGTGGGGCTGGTTCTCAAGTGGCATTTTTCTGATGGTGCCTATTTTGGTCACTAGCGATGGAAATATTTTTTTCCTCGATCTGTGTGTGGATGGTGAAATTGACGTTTACCGGCATTTACTGATAAAAATCAAATCCTTCCAAGCCTAAGACTATTGCAATGACGTAAGGATGGCATAAGTATGTGAGGCTGTGCATTTGGTGTGACTGTTGAGGATGTCAACTAGGGCTTCTGTACCCCGGAAGTGGGTCTCCATGTGAGACGTGGGTCCTAAACTGATTAACACATCAACCTTCCGAAATAATAAGAATACCCATCTCTTATCCAGCGCTTTTCATCAGTAGATCTCAAAACACTTTACCAAGGAGGGTCAGTATTGTTATCCCCGTTTTACAGATGGGGAAACTGAGGCACTGAACAGTAAAGAGACTTGCCCAAGCTCCCAAGAAGAGCAGTGGCCAAACCAGGAATAGAACCTAGGTCTCCTGACTGCCAGTCCAGTGCTCTATCCACTAGGTCATACTGCTATATCTTGTGCCTGTGGAGGCTAAAACACTTCGTTATGGATCCTTAATACCCGTCAGTTAAAGGGAAAGTCTCAGCACAAGAAATAGGTGATTTTAAAAGATTTGTTGAGAATAGCAGAACACATATATGGATACATAAACACACGCTCATGCATACAGACACAACTTTCACTTTACATTTATATAGCACATTTTGTCCTAGTTTCCCAAAATGCTTTACAAACTATAAATACATATAGCACCACTAAAATGCAGCCATCTCTGGGGTGGGAAGGCACACAGAAGCACCTTTTACAACAGCCGTATGAGGGGAAATTTTGGCCCAGGACACAGATATTTGTGATCCGGTGTTATATCTAGCGGTAACCTACTAATTTCTTGTCTCTCCCTTTGCATTTCCTTTTGGAGTTGTTGCCATCGTCCGGGCGATGTACAAATGAGATCCAGGTGCGCCGCGGATCTGTGATTCGAGGATCTGGAGATTCTAGAATCTAAAGAGAAACGAGAACAAAGATTGGATGTCATTGTGTGTCTTCATCCACTGACAAGAATCCTAAACTCAGACTGCGCGACTGTCTGGTATCCAACTGGAGCCCTAACGAATAAAGGGGGCCTGAACCAACCCCCTGGATCCAAACACCTTGAACTTTGTGGGACATTTATTTCGGAGATGGAGCTGAACTTGGCAGTTCAAGGCCTAGCTCCAATAAAGAGCAAGTCAGAACTTGAAGCTGGGATGGGTGAGCGGGCAGTTTTCGTTGTGGAAGGATGTAGGGCTGGCTGCAGAGGTCAAGAGGAAGGGTGGGGAAATGACTCCAGACCAGATCATAAGAGCAGAGAGGGAGCCTGCAGGCTGCAGCTTGCAGAAGCTGCGTTACAAAATGTTGGAATAAAAAAAAAATGTTAAACACAAGAAATTCCATTGCTTTAATGCAAAGAACAACGTGGGAGGAAGGTACAGAGTGTTGAGAGGCAGTGTGGTCCAGTGGTTAGGGCTGGACTGAGTCTCCAGAACCCTGGGTTAGCAGGAGAGGGTGCTGACCTTGGCTGGGTCCTTCTAGGATGGAGATAATAAGAAGAGTCCATTGGGACAACTGAAATAATTCTGACCACCAAGGCATGAATATTTCCTACTGAACTAGCACTTGTGGGGACTCCATGTGGTATAGTGAATCTCTAACATTGGCTTCTCTCTTAACCTCTGGAGACGGGGCTTCTCTGCTGTCTATCCCTCACACCCACTGCACAATGAAGCAACTCGGGGAAGGCCCATTGCCACAAAAGCAACGTCAGGAGCAAAGTGTATTGGCAGAGCTGGAAATGAGGAGCACAGTCTGCATAGCACCGGCCTGCAAGACACTCTCCCTTCTAGTCCTGGCTCAACATCCCTTTACATTCATGCACATCCACTGTGGAATCCGCATAGAGTTTCCCATATCAGGATCAAATCCCCCTGAGCCATAATGTGTCTAAAAGTCAACACTGGACATCAGAAAAGATAAAATCCCAGAGCGGAGCCCCTTGCTATTTAAAATAGCAACGATAGTTTGGGTTCATAAAGGGCATTTCCCCCATCAGTCTCCAAACACTGGGAGAGAGAGGTGACGTGACCTGACGAAAGTCACCCACCAGTCAGTGATGGCAATGGAACAACAACATCCTTCTGCCCCACAGTAACTGCGAGAAATCAAACACTCACTGCCAAGCCCATAGTGACCCACACCTAAGTAATCCACGTGTGCATAGATACAAAAGCCATGTCGCCTGTTCACATGTATACATGCACACATGCACAAGTGTACATACATGCATGTGATATATATGAAAGGAGACTCGAGGAGCTCGGGTTGTTTAGCCTAACCAAATGAAGGCTGAGGGGGGATATGATTGCTCTCTTTAAATATATTAGAGGAATAAATACCAGGGAAGGAGAGGAATTATTCCAGCTCAGTACTAATGTGGACACGAGAACGAATGGATATAAACTGGCCGTGGGAAAGTTTAGGCTTGAAATTAGACGAAGGTTTCTGACCGTCAGAGGGGTGAAATATTGGAACAGCCTTCCGAGGGAAACCGTGGGGGCGAAGGACCTGTCTGGTTTTAAGATTAAGCTAGATAAGTTTATGGAGGGAATGGTTTAATAGGATAACATGATTTTAGTCAAATGAACAGTGTGCCATTGCTGGTAAATAGTATCAATGGCCAATGAGGGTCTGGCTGGAGAATCTTGCCTACATGCTCGGGGTTCTACTGATCGCCATATTTGGGGTCGGGAAGGAATTTTCCTCCAGGGTAGATTGGCAGAGGCCCTGGAGGTTTTTCGCCTTCCTCCACAGCATGGGGCAGGGGTCGCTAGCTGGAGGATTCTCTGCTACTTGAAGTCTCTAAACCACAGGATTTGGGGTCTTCAACAGCAGAGTCAAGGGAAAGGGTTGGGACGGCTTTGTGGCCTGCGACATGCGGGAGGTCAGACTAGATGATCATAATGGTCCCTTCTGACCTTAAAGTCTATGAGTCTATATGCCTGCACAAATATGTATATGCACACACGTATGCAGAGGAATATGCATATACATGTAATGCGCACACACGCAATACAATACAAATGACATTTCACATTCTGATTGAATTTTCACTGGTGCCGTCACAGGATCTGCTCCCTAAACTTTCCAACCAGCAATAGAGCTGGCTAGACCTGACCCCTTGCCAGTCAAGCAGCCAGATAGGAGTCCAATAAAAGCCCACAGATTTATTCAAGAATGACTGACCTGACCCCAATTTCCACCCATGTTTTACCAGTCCGTTGGTTTTACTTTATGTCACGGAGTCAAAGATGGCCTCGATGGATTGGCTTCAAAGAAACACAACAGCACATGGGGCCATGTACAGCCACTGCGTCACTTTCCCCCCCTCTCGTCTGGCTGGGAAGCTATGGCACTGCGGGAACACCAGAGATTTCAGCAACATGCAAATCATTTGTACTTGGCACCAAGTGACAAAGCTGAATGCTTATGGCTTTACCTGGTGCTGATAAGTAAATGGGCTTGGGGAAAATCACTGCTACGATCCACCCCCAGGCAAGCCCAATTACACATGTGCATTCTTTTAGTGCTAACAAGGCTGAATTTAAAGAGACAGGGTCAGGCCTACAAAACTGTCCTGGTGCAGAATGTCTTCTGGATTCCAAATAGCGCGTGCGTGTGTATATATGTGTATATTTATCAGTCTGTCACTGGGAAATTTTGTCAACCATGCCACTGTTCAGACAGGAGCTACACTGAAACAATGTTTTGTGCTACCTCTGCAGCAAGCCGTTAATAATCCTTGGCGTCTGATCCTCCACTGCCATCCGCCTTGTGTCATCATTGACACCTGCACCAAGTGAGCGTGTGAAATGCTACCGCTCTGATTTAGCGGCCACTTTGCCCAGGTGCAAATGTCGACACAAGGGGCCAAGTGGGGAAAATAAGGCCGTTAGCGTTTATATAGGGCTTTGTTGCAACCGTTTGCTAATTAATTCTCAGAAGACTTCTGTGAGATAGGCAGGTGGGGAAACAGGTTCATATTCTAGCCCCTGATTTATACCTGCCTCTGGAAATTTCCATTACTTGCATCTGAAGAAGTGAGGTTCTTACCCAGGAAAGCTTATGCTCCCAATACTTCTGTTAGTCTTAAAGGTGCCACAGGACCCTCTGTTGCTTTTTACAGATTCAGACTAACATGGCTACCCCTCTGATTCTAGCCCCTGTTCTCCAGACTAAAACAAACACTAATCCCTCCTAAACACTAGTGCCCATGCCATGTTCTTTCTGGGATGTGCTAGAATGCAGTGTCAAAAAGGAGAGGGCAAATTGATTGGGATGTGTTAATGTCTAGGTCCCTTACTAATCTGGGCTGGAGTGGGGAAGGGGACTCACCCCATTGTTTGGGACAGAAAGCTAACAGCAGGCTTCCAAGAACACACACAACATTTTTGAGAGTCCAATACAAATAAAAAGCAATCAAAGACCTACCTGACAATCTCATTCTAGCCATATCACTAGAGGATTCATTGATGTCCGACATGTCAGTAGCATTACAGGAGTGGCTCTGTATCTGTACATAGGTATATAATTAGTTAACAGATACAGTGCCAGTAGATGGTGCTCAAGAACAAGTAGAAAAACAATGAGGAGTCCGGTGGCACCTTAAAGACTAACAGATTTATTTGGGCATAAGCTTTCATGGGTAAAAAACCCACTTCTTCAGATGCATGGAGAAGAAGAAGATGCAGACTAACACGGCTACCCCTCTGATACTAAGAACATTTAGCTTAGTTCCTGGGTTTTATAGGACCAATAGAATAAGTTGTGCATTGCAAATTGAGTTCCACCAAGCAGCTGTTTGCATGGCGCTCTTAACAAGCAGCGGATACAGTTTCCACCTTCTGGGCCACGGTTGGCATTTTGATCCTGGGCTAAAAATCACCCTCACAAGCCATAAATGTCATGCTGATGAGGATGAGGTTACTATGTGAAAGTTCTGAGGAGCACCCCAGGATGGTTGTTCTGTGTGCTATGGTCCCGAGCCCCAGGATGGTATCCTACTCGGCCTTCCTATGGCAGGATATGACATTCTGGTGGGAGTGGTTGGTTCCATGCAGAGTTACGGAGAGGTAGAGTCTATGGCCTTATTTGAAATGGTCCATCATCTTTTTTAACTTAAAAAACCCCCAGCAATGGTGTTTTGTAAGGAAAGATGCCAGGACTGACAGCCATGAACAATGAAGCCCGTTTATACGGCACAGAACATATACACTATGGGAAGTGACATAAGACTTCTCAGCAACATAATACTCCCTGCCAACATGCCTCAGTCATGAATGGGAGGGATCACTTGGAGAGGCTAAAAGGGATCTTATCCATTGCCAGTTCCAATCCTGGATCCTCTTTATTCTAGGAAATGGGGTCTACCCTGGGGGAGGGTTTTGCAATTTGGCTCCTTGTCTCCTGGGAGCTAGAGTAAGACTTCCGCGTTCATCTTGCAAAGGCTGCCTGCCCAACAGCCCTCAGATGGCCTCACCTGTTGGTTGACATTCAGCTGACTTGGGATTGAACTTTTAGCTGCATTGTGAAAGGCTGGCCCGGTGGCCCATTTGTTACCAGTTTTCTAAGCTGTCCAATCCCCCGTCAAGAACAACTGGACGTTGACTTTCGAGGTCCCAATCCCTTCGCCTATCAGTCTGGCAAATTTCCATCACTGCGAGGAGGAGAAAATACAAGTCCATCTCGAGCCCCAATATTCTCAGCCCCCCTCAGAGCAAACTGACAGCCCAGAGATTAATGAGTCATGCCTTGGCATTTAGACTTGTTAATGAAAGAGCTGAAGAGAGGAAGTACTGGAAAGAATGCATCAAATCTGAAAAAAGTGCCTACTGTCGATCCTGGGAATTCATCCAAGAAGCGAGTGGTTTTGCGCTTTGCTTCCCCCTTCCAACGAGGTGGAAGCCGGG